CAGCCGCCCCCGGCAGCCCGCGGGACAGGGGGTTCCCCACGGATCCAGATGGATCCATACGGAATGCTGGCAGCAGAGACATCGTGCAGCACCGCTCAGCCCTTGGCAAGGAGCACAGGCGCCCCGCTCACCGCCCGGGGTGACCGCTGCTTGCTGCCTGCTCCTCGGTCGCAACAGAGGCCGTTTGAGCTCAGACAGCAGGAAAAACAAAACTTGACAAAGCAGATGCCGAAATAAACTGTCACAGGTAAGTGCAGACTAAACCCCCATCCAGCTGGTATTGGCCTTAAGTGAGGCTAGGCCAGGTTATGGACAAGGCTCTTTCTAACTCCACTTCCTGCAAGGAGGAAACATCAGGAGCCAAACGTAAACTAGAAAATCAGAAGTGCTGAAGGTTAGGGATGTGACAGGGAATTACAATACTAAGATGATGCATTCCTAAAACATTTCTAAGTATTTGAAGCTCACAGAATTAAAAAAATAATAATAAAAAATATCTCTGGACTCACCCAACTGAATTATCTCATTATGTGAAAAACAAAGATGCCAGATCCTTCTCATTCAAGCCATATCCTGACACACTTGGCAACATGATGTCTAGCAAGTTTTTCCAACTAACCCTTTCTCCAATTCAGTTACTGTGACCTCTAAATTAATTTCCTGGATTTCACTAACTAGAAGCATGAGAGGACAAGTGACATGCTACAAACTTTGCTCAAAGCTATGCAAGCACATTGCAGGCACAGCTGCAAAGCCACATCCACCTAAATCAAGTTTCCCTATGTAACCACCAGACATATGTAACACCACCATGCACAGCTGTTCAGACTGGCTTTCCTGGGCTGCCCACAGTCAAAAACAATGGAAGCAGCACATACATGGAATTCCTTCCATGCTAATAAACCATGCAAACCATCAGAAAGTTAAGTATATGAAATTACTCCATAATCTGCATGTTTTAGATGGATCAGGGTTTTTTTAAAAACATTTCCTTTACATCTTCTTTGATAACCTAATTACAAGTTTTTCAGTTTATTTTTGTACTCTTCTGTTTAAGTTTGGAATGAGGAAGAGCAATAAAGTTGCTAGACACAGTACATGTACAAAAGCAACATACAGATTTTGTTAAAGGCAGGACAGCTTTCTCTGATTTTTCTGCCCATTACTGATTCTACTGGAGTACTTCACATTAGATGGGGCAGATTTCTCAGTCATTTGAAGAACTTCAGATAAATAATAAATCCTTTGCTAAGAAAAATATACTCTCATCCAACAACTCATTGGAACAACTGAGCACATTTCCTTAGCCTGTTTGATGCAGTGAGGCAGACTAGATAATCAGAAGATCACCTGCAACTTCAGAAACAATAAACTTGCATATCAGTCCCAGAGACTAAACCAGACGTGAGGTATTGCAGTAACCTTCAGTCTCCTAAGACATCTACAAATGCTTCCTAACACAATTGATTTTTTTTCTTCAGGATTTTACAGAATTCTCTCTGATGTGCTACCTAGAATTTCAGTGGCTATCATCAGTTCAGTTCCTATCTGGAGCTATAAGTGAATGTTTCTTATCTTGGAAAAAAATATATTTGGGCCTGTTTCTTCAAGAAAAAGACAAAGAAAAGATCAGGAAAGAAGCTATCTTGACAAACAACTAGAATTAATTTATATTTCAGAGGATAGGACATTTTACAATTTCCTTGCTTTAAGTAACATTATTGCCAATGTAAATAGTGATTAAAACACAAAAAAAAATCAACTAAATATCTGTATTTGAAAAGATAGAAAAATGAGAGTAAAAACCTGTCACAAAAGGCATGGTTGTCACGTAACAAGACAGGTTAAAGGTGACTGGCAGACACTCCTACTCATAATAATTTGAGCCACCTGGGAGGGCACTGGTATCACAAATGTTCAGTCAGGTCCTTGTAGAAAAACTGGGTGCTTCTCCTACAGGAAGATGACTGCAGCTCCAAAATGCTTGGATTGAAATTTTCTCCTCTCTCCATACTTCTTGGTTTAGGAAGCACTCCTGGTTTCTGGTATCATGGAATGTTCATTTTAACCTCCTCCTCCTCGTTCCTCTTTAATCTTGATCCCTCCATCACTCAAGTGTTCCCCTGCAGTGAGGTTTGCACGTGGTGCATATGGAGAATAGGGGCATGAGAGGACACAGGACAGAAACTATTCATTTGGATCAGTCCAAGAACAGAAGGCACAGAGGTATCATAGGCACAGTATAAAAACCTGAGGAGAAAAGTCTGTGATCTGGATCATACTCTGAATGTATCAGTTCACTTACTGAACTTTAGGTACAGGCTCCATCTATTTGACTTTTCAAAATAAGAGAATACTAAATATTAACAGAATCAGCAAACAACAGCCAGCCAGATCAGTTCTATAGCTTCTTTCCAAATTCAGTGCCATCTTGAACGGGTAAAAGATGTCAAATGGGAGTTTCCAGTGCTTTTGGGGCTGGCCTCGGGGAGGTTCCGGCCATTTTGTTATGTCAGTGAAGGTAATGACAGTTGTCAGAGGTACTGTGCCTGTGCTTAGGAGCTGTAACAAGAAGGAAAGACAAGGAGTTTAAGAAGCTTAATACAAAAGATAGATCCCTCCTCAATTTGCTCTACTTGGCCTTGGTGAGACTGCACCTCGAGCCCTGTGTGCAGTTTTGGGCACTGCAGGATAGGAAGAACATTGAGGTGCTGGAGAGGGTGCAGGAAGGACAACTAAGCTGATGAAGGGACTGGAGAACAGGTCTTACAGGGAGAGGTTGAGGGAGCTAAGGCTGATCTTCAGCGTGGAGAAGAGAAGGCTGAGGGGAGGCCTCATTGCTCTCTACAACTCTGAAAGGAGGTTATGGTGAGGTGGGTGTTGGCCTCTTCTCCCTAGTGACTAGTGATAGGACAAGAGGAAATGGGATCACGTTGCACCAGGGGAGGTTCAGATCGGATATTAGGAAAAATTTCTTCACAGAAAGAGTGGTGAGCCATTGGAATAGGCTGCCCAGGGAGGTGGTGGAGGCATTGTCCCTGGAGGTGGTAAAAAAAACAGGTGAACGTGGTGTTTCAGGAGCTGGTTTAGTGGTTATGGGTTGTAGGGTGGATGGTTGGGCTTGATGATCTTGAAGATCTTTTCCAACTGTGATGATTCTGTGATTCTATGTCTTTAGGGTAGTAGGAGTTAAGGGTTACAGATACGTATTTTTTTCTTTTTTCCAAAATTCACACTTAGCAGGTAAACAGAGGGCACGGGTCTATGGAAAGATCAGTAGCTACTGTGCATCATACGTTCCAGATCTCCAGAATGGAAGCAGTGACTCAAGCTCTGCTATGGTAGTCCTTCTATTCAGAGGGAAGATGTATCAGCTAGTTGGTAAGAAAAAGAGACTCTACATTTTTATAAAATGATGTGTTTTATGTAATATTAAAAAAATGTAATGAGCCATGCCTTAGGCAGAGTCCTGCTGCAGTATGTGGTTCCACATCTGCAAAGATGTGTCAGGAGCAGATTCCTTGTGTACACTTGCACCAGCACCCCTTCCAAGTCACCCGCAGACCAGTTCTGCTGCCCTGAGCTCCCATTCCAGGATAGCTTGTGGACAATGCTGAGGCTCTTTCTTATCTCACCACCAAGGAAAACTTCACTCCTTTGAAAGGAGTCTGTCTCTGGCATTCCAGCTTCCAGTCAGTTTAACAACTTCCTGCAGCTCATCCTTCTTGCCCTCCATGCCAGATCCTTCCTTACTCAAAAATTACCACTGCTGAGCAGTTACAATTAGAATTTCGCCTTCACTTTTCATGCATTGAAGTTCTTCTATCAATTACTTCTATCAAGTAAACACACAGTAGGCACAATTATGTAAATTTGAAGTCTCAAAAGAATTCTGGCTTTGCCTCTGGACCTTCAAAATCTGCCTAAAAATCAGTGAAATAAGTAGGGGGAAAAAAATTAACATATCCACAGCTAGGAGAAGGCAGCACAAGCAACTTGCATCATGCTCATGTACGTTCAAAGAGTAGTAACACATGAGACATTTGTCATGTCATACCTCAGTGCCATGAGAACACTTTGGGCAGGTGTCAGCTGCTTCCCTAAAGCCCTTGCAGACACATGTAAGCCTGGAAATGCATGTGCTGCACAAAAGACTTTGTGATGTCAGGAGTCCAGACTTGCATCAAACTGGGATCCACTGACACACACTTGAAAACGATGATTCATTCTCCCTTGTGGACCTGTTAGGTCCACCTTCCTGCTGACATCATAGAATCACAGAATAGTTTAGGTTGGAAGGGACCTATATAAAGGCCATCTAGTCCAACTTTCCTGCAACATACAGGGACATCTTCAACTGGATCAGGTTGCTCAGAGCCCTGTCCAACCCAACCTCCAATGTTTCCATCATGTCATCTCTTAGAAACCTGCTTTCTGGCTTAAAACCTTTCCCCGCTAGTTTTTCACATCTGGTGCCATTAGCATTGGCCTCTTCCTCCACTACCTGTTGATTTCAGAACCCCTAGAGAGAAGTATCTTCTTGCACAGATTATGAGCACGCTATGGAGTTTGTGAAATATAAATGAACTCACTTTTGACATCAAGGCTTTAAGAGACAAGCAGATAAACGTGTAGCTATTGAATGTTTGTAACTACAACTTTATACTGAGAACAATAAAAAATTTAAAATTCAAGTCCTTAGGTGGCAGAAGGTGGTTTGGGGCTGAAAAGAATGTACCTTTCCAGTTTTAAAACTGAATGAGGACAGTACTGATAGACCATAAAGCCACCTTCCTCCATAGAGTTGTTAAATACAAACTCTTGCCACTGCAGCCAGACCACTGCTAAAGTTCAGTATATCTCAACTCAGTAATATCAAGACCATTTGATTAATGAGTTCTTAAATAACCTGTGATCCCATTTAATTACCCAAGTGAGGGGGAGGGGAGGTGTTTAAATTCCCTACCTTCAGGGGCTGACACTTATAAAAGTATCGTGCACCCAGTATTTGTGCTTGCGGGTTGGACAGGATGCCCACCCTAGTCCACAATATCTGTATCTCCAGAGTCACAGGAACCATGCAACAGGAAGTGCAGTTCACACCCTGAAAATAAAATATATGCCAAAAATCTTAATCTAGTATTTTAAAGGTGAAAAAGGACCATTATGATCAAAGTCTAGTATTTTGGATAGCATAGGGCATGGAACCTGAATCAGTCCCTTCATAACTAACCCTATAACTTCTGGTCAAGACAACCACCCATTTTAGAACTCTATCCATCTTATTTCCAAGCAGCTCTACAGCTTGGATTTTGCATTCTATTAGGCCATCTCCTGACAAAGTGCTAATTACTGAAATAAACTTTGCCTCCTCCAAAACTACTTGGATCATAAGCTTTTACCCTTATTAGGTAATACATAAATATCCCTAGAAACTGGAAAATCAGAAAAGATGGTAATAATAAAAGCGTTAAACCAACAGGAAACAACCAGGTGTTATTAGTTCTAGGAGGCTGTCAGAAAACCAGGTAGCACAGCGCTGAATTCAGTATTAAACTTTTTGCCCATTTAAGTTGCACAAACAGAATTCAATAGATATAAAAACTGTTAGGGTTTGGTTTTGGTTTTTTTTTAGTCAGTGTCATAATAATACAAACCTTAGTAAGAACGAATGCTTACAGGCATTACAACGCCTGAGAGTCAGTGGATCAAAACACAAAGAAAGCGAGCTCAGATGAACAGGCTACTTATTTTCCCACGCCCACACTCAAAGCAATACAAAGATATGAAAGGAAGAATATTCACAGCTGGTCTCCTGCTGTTCAGGTTACCTGCACACTGCAGTTCTGCATCAGAATGGCTGTCCACTCTTCTGCCTGGGTTGAACGAGCATTGCCAGTTATTGCAAGGTCTTCTGCTCTGTTCATTCCTTCAAGAGCCTCGTATAGCTTCTGCTGGATGTAACTACAATTACTTTCTTCCAGTGTTGGGGATAGGCTGGAAATGAGAAAATAAGAGCTTTATCGAGTAATTTCCAGGACAGGAAAAACCTGCTATCAACATACTTCCTTCATACTAAGTATTCCTTCCACTCTTGTAACGAGTCAACAGAATCATTACAGAAGTATTGGTATTAAAGGGACGAAGTTTCCATCCTCTGCAATAAGAAGAGGGAAGAATAACATGGCAGGGTGATGCATGGTAAGGACAAGTGACAGCTCTTTAGCCATCTTACCACATCAGTGGTGACAGACCTGCCTTGTCACCAACAGAAGAATGACTCAAATCAGCAAGACAGTAACTTTTTAAGGTTCCAGTATAACTCACTCCTCAAATACACACTGCTCTTGCCCAAGACATATTGCCAGAGTACAGCTCAAAATGGCCCATAAAACCTTCACACTGTTCAGATGGTTCTAGAGGCCCACTGTCTCTCTAATATTTAAGTCCTCTTAGGAGCACATGGAAGATCTGTAGAGACCCATTGGTGACCTCAGGGAAGAACCTAGACTTCAAAGCATTGCATGAGAGACTACGGAAAAACATGCTAAGTGAGTCCACACCTCCCAAATGTGCCAGGGTGACTGCAAAAACTGTTGCTACCTGAGCTTGCAGCCTGTCCTCATATTTCTTCCAAATTGTACTGTGTGTCTAAGGAGCTGTGAGCAGCTTCCATCACCTTCACTCTGTAAAATGGTCATCTGACAGATTCCATGTCAAGAAACCAAACACAGAAGCATAAACAGACAATACAGGACACTCAACTTCCTTTTAACTGTCCTCTCACCCCACATTCCTCCTTATAGGAGGAATCACAGGTCTACAATTCATTCGTGACCAAAAGGCCTGCTGATGTAATACTGAGGTACATCCTCACAGCTAAAGGGAGAATCTCTAAAGTCCAGGCAGCAGAGTACCAGAAGTCAATAAACCCAGTGATAAATAAAACTTGATAATAGGAAAAGGATACATGCTGCACACCATCACTGTTTGCAATCAGCAGCGGTGCTCCAGTGATATAGCCAGGGTTTCCACTTCTAGGCAACACAGGAGAAAGAGTATTGGTCTACGAAGAGGTAAAGGGAAAAAGGAGAAAGAGAAAAACATTAGTACTAATGAGATCCTTTAGTCTCAGATCAAATTCACATTCTAAAAAACATAAATGTAACCTATTTTTTTAAAGACTGAATATTACGCACAACTAAAACTTTGGATTATTTGTTTCAAAATCCTTTCTTACCTGGCAGTCCAAGAGTTAAAAAACCTAAATGTCAGTACCCTGATGTGCAGTACTGCCAGGACAGTTCTTGAGACAATATATTTGTACTGCTCAGCATTTGTGCCTAAGGAAGTGAGCATACCAGTCTGGGCAATTCTACAGATGATCTGCAGAACAAACCCTGCCTTGACCCCCATCCTCAGTGGCAGGTTCCACTTCATATTGTTCTATGGGGAACGTCTCTGGGGATAGTTCAGCAAGGTTGCACTGCACACTTATCAACCCCTGAGGTCTCCACTTAGCTCACTTGATACTGCCTCTATGGGACAAGGTTCATATGGCCTCATATATATTCCCATATATATATATATATATACACACACACACTCATTAGTATTTCCCAGTTTCCCCCCTCCCCCCTCTTCCATAGCAACCCTCTTTCCCACTATATGGACAAAGTTAAATAAATACCTAGAATAAATTCAGCAACTTTGTTCACAAACACTGAATGCCTCAGTTACACCACCAGCTTCAGCCCTTCCCTCGCAAGACCATGGTAGTGACCCTTATCTCATCCTGTCCCTGTCTCCCTCATCAAAAAATCCCACAAACCAAATCAAAACAATAGCAAAAACTAGTTGGATAAAAATATCCAGCTCTTCCAAACTTGTGCAGCGCAAGACTGCATGTGCACCTAGCCTGAATTTCTAGTTTACTTGAGACCAGTGTCCCCTCCTTCCTTCAATCACCATCTGTGTCCCAGGGTTCTGGTGCTACCACACCACAGGGACACTGCTCTCATCTTTTCACATCTCATCTGTACCAACTGGGTCAGAAGCTACAGGCTGCAAACTTGGTAAGAGCCCAGGGAGGACGGGGGCACTGACCCAGAAGTGAAAAGCGAAGTGCTGCTGCAGAGAGGATCCCGAGTTCCCAGAGATGTTGCTCACTTTGAACCAGACAGAAACACTCTGAATCCCACGTGTGCCACTGAATTCTATCTTGTATATCACCTGGAAGTCCAATTCGGAGGAGAAGCAGAGGCAGAGTCAGTTAACAGGTCAGGGACTTTAAGCTAATGTTGAATTTCCCAAAGGAAAGAAGATTCAGATACCTCAGAAACAACATTGTTACATGTATTCTCTGTCATGTGGGGAGCTGCAGGAGGTGCAACTGCAGTGATCTTCACCTGCAGACAGCAAGCATGTTAATAATTAGCAATAGTTTAAAAGGATCATACCTTTCTTACTCTTTTCCACTGCTTTTCCATGCAAGTCATATTTACCTTCCTACTGTAGCTGTGATCTGTGGACCCTGCTGCAGATGCCAATTTTTTTCTAAGAAAACAAGCTACCTCTCTGACTCCATCCCCATCTATGCCCATTCATTTACAACTCCTTCTTTCCTTATATCCCTTTTTTTTTTTTCCTATAGTGTCATACTTTTTGCCAAGGAAATCTTGTCTCAGACACAGAACATTCCCATTCTCCCAAGTTCCCAACCCATTAGTACTACTATGAATGCCTAAGATTCTAGGTATGTTTTGTTTCAGAAACGGCAGTTAATTTCATGGGCAATACAGACTACAGACTGACCTTCATAGACTCCACAATGGTGTCTTTAACTGGGACCTGGGGAAAACAAACAAACCAACGTTCAACACCAAAAAACCAACTGATATTCTGGCTTTGCAAGTGCCTAAAGTAATGAAAATGTCACTGTCCTGGTTTGAGCCAGGATGAAGCCAATTTTTCTTTTTACTGATTTTTTTTCCCTTCAGTAAGCTTTCTTGTAACTAGCAACAGTGTGTTCTGCTAGGCTGATAAGACAGTGGAATGTTTTTCTAACTACTGAGGCTTCAAGGCCGCACCTGCACTCTGCCGGCTCAGACACTATGGGGAGATCTGTGACCCCCCGTAGGAGGCTGAGTTAGACGGACAGCAAAATTGTCCAAAGATATTCCATTCCCTATATCTACGTAAGCTCAAAGGAAGGTCAGAGATCACAGAAGACAACTTCCTTCCTTCTTCTTCTCCCCTTCTCTTCCGTCCATGGAGGACTCTGCTCATCCATCACCGTCGACCCTTAGGCTCGAGATCTCCTGACCCCCATAACTCTCTGCTTTTTCCCAGCAGCAGCTCCAGGATTCCTCGGGACTCTTCCCAGTTCAGGGAAGTGCTGTGGGAGTTGCTGGGGTGGGGGGAGGCGAGAGGTTTTTGCCCATTCCTGAATATATCTGTATATAATTGTATATATTTTCTTGTATGATTCATTAGTGTTTTAATTAAAGCTGTGTAGTTTAGTTTTCAATCCAGCCAAGTCTCTCTCTTTTTCTCTCTCTCCTTCCCTACCTGGGTTGGGGGGAGGGGGGATCGAGAGCGTTGTTGTCAGACCTGAGTCAAACGGTGACAGTCACTAAATAGAACCTAGGTATTGTATTGACAAAAATTACTTTGTTTATTCCAGGTGAGTAAAACTTGTAATCTAAAAACCACAGACATAATCCATAGAAAACAGTTTTAGAACATCAGAAACAAATCTGATCCTGATGCTACTTTAAAATATCAGCATTTTTTATCCATTCCTGGACCTCCCCCTTCTGGAATCATGGAATTACTTCAGCTCCCATTTAAGGAAAAATTAAATTTTGGCCACAGTGACAAAGCAAGCCCTGAAAACATGAGTTAAACTGGATCAACAGATGGCTCTCTGCTGCAGTTATATAGATTTAGATTTCCCATATAAGGGTAAACTGTGTCATTAGCCTTAATAAGGTGTTAATATTTACTCTGTGTTTTTACCTTGGAACACCAGAGAAACTCTAGTGGGCAAGGAGCCTTTTTCATGTTCACATTCAGTTAGACCAGCATGATGAACCCTGGACACTAAACCTGTTATTTTGAAATTACTGTCACGATAAATAATGAAGAAATGTATATGAAAATCAATCTCTGAATGCAAAAAAAGCTATTACTGATAACTAGCCTTCAGTACGATTTTACTGGTAACGCTGTATAAAACAAACCCTCATGCTTTACCAAAAACATGCAATGCTTGGTTGATCAAGTGGAAGGAACATATAGGAATACTTTGACAAACAGTCTAAAATACGAGAGTTTTAATTAACCATTAAAACTACGAAGTATAATGAAGTACCTGTTAAATGCATTAAGAATTGGCTAATAGCTGAATTTCATTGAACAGTAGTTTGAATTGGGGAATTACCACCAATAGTTGACATTTTTTAACAACACTTCCAGCAAGAAGGCCTGAACAACCAGGAAATCAGGGATGATGTACCAGATGACCTTTAGTTTTCCAGTTAGCTGGAAATGCAATGGAATGCCAAGCCAGTAAGAAGCTGAGCAAAGGCAGAACCACCGCACGCACCTTCAGCACCGAGAAGCCCCGGTAGTAGGAGGCAGCAGCCAGGGCAGGGTCAGAAGTACAGCTCTTGCTCAGGTTGGCAAAAAAGCGAGTACAGCTGGTGCTTTTACTCTCCAGGAAGCCTGCGTTAGAACATGACAACAGATAAAGCAGAAGCAAACCACCCCAGGACATCCGTGCCCCATTACTAACCAGCAGGATTTCCATTGACACAAAGTCCACTGGCTCCCATTGCCACTGGCTGCCTGAGCGTGCTCAGCACAGATGATGAATCAAAGTAGATCAGGATTGGATCACCAGCCTGAGAAGAGAGTTTGGAGAAATCACAAAGTGCAAGGTGATATCATCAGAGCACAAAGACAAATTTACACTTCTGCTCAGTGTACACCCAGTTTTAACTAAAGGGTTGTCCAAACTTTTAAATATAATCAGTAACTTTTTACACAATAAGGAATGAAAAGAACTGAGAGATAATATGAACTACAGGTAGAAAAATAACAATTTTTCGGTCTATTCTCATCCAGATTCATTACAGACAGCTTCAGTACAAATGTATGTATGAATTGATAGCTGTTTTCTTTCAACTCACCCGGTAAAAGGCAGAAAATGATGGCTGGACTTGCGATGATACCAAGAAAG